CATGACACTTCTCTGCAGGAGAAACGAGGCGCCACTTTCCCCTCTTTTAATTCGTTCGGCACTGAATAAAATCCATATCGATGTTCCCCGCCACAGAGCCTGCTCACAAGAAAACAATTGGTGCCTTTTTGGCGAAATCCCACGTCCGGCAGTATCTCAGTTTTTTTTTTTTAATTTTAATTAAAAAATTAAGAGATTCCTTGCATGTGATAGTCAGGGTCACTCGGAAATGCACAGAAAAAAACATGGTTCTGCTTCCCTTGAACCCTCAAACATCAATTCAACATTAAAGTGAACCTCGCTGGCAGAATTGGAAGATCGAGGCAACAAAACAAGTCCTTAGCATTTCGCTGCTAGCCTCATTTAAATGCAGAAATGCATGAAGCTGACCTTTCTCATGTAATCGGCCTCAGAGAGATTGACCAAATAAACAATGGGTTTCGCAGTTAGAAGGAGATGATGGTTCAGCGCTTCCACTTCCTTCTCGTTCCAGGTGGCCAAGCGAACTGGCTGCTTGTCGTGCTCCAGCAAATCCCTTACCTGAAAAGCATAAAAAATAAATTCCGCAAACAGTGCCACAGTCTGTTAAATAATGCAAATTTATTTTCACACGGATACTTACTTTCACGAGTGTCTCATACTCCAGTTTCCTCGTTTTGTCGCCACCTCTGACAACGACTTTTTCCAGCTTATCGATGGCTCCCTCCAGATACTGCAGATCTTTTTTAATAAGTTCGCTCTGGATTATGTCGAGATCACGAACTGGATCTACTTCGCCCTCTACGTGTGTCACGTTGTCATCATCAAAAGCACTGCAAAAACGCTTCTCGTACACTTAGTATGAAGGACGGCCAGGATTGGACGCAAAAAATACTGCAAACTGAGTTTTATGTGGCGTTTAAATCAGCCATAAGATCTGAATGGCCAATTCAAGGAACGCCTTACTTTGTTTCAGTTAGGGGTAAAACGGCCTACTCCAACGCAAATCTATCAAAATACCAAAAACATCAAAAATTCTCCGGTGCAGGCCTCCTGTTAGCGATGCTTGTGAAGTATTCCCACACGTCAGCTGTAGCTATGCTAGACTTTTTGATTTGAGCTGCACACTTCTAGTTAGTATCCACAGCCTGTTCAATGGCTGCAAGTCACTTCTTCGAGTCGAATCTTCGTTTACATCTTCGCAAGTACCGATCAAGTAAAGCTCGCGGATAATGCCAGGACCAGGATATCCCGTGGTGGCAACTCCTTTTCACCTTAGATCCCTAGCACCGAATCACCCTCCGATTGCCGGTCCGCCACAGTAGACCGACTAAAAAAGGCACAATCATATATATCACACTCTAAAATAATAATATTCAAACTCCAACATTTCTACTGCTCTTTATAAGATGGGAAGGATACTACGCATGTAGGAAACTACAAAAGCTGATCAAAAAAATTACCGGCAAAGATGAAAAAGTGCGTCACATGCACTGACGTGCGACAAAAAAGCGTTGCCTAGGCCCTGACCTTCGGAAGCGCCTTTCACCAAGCCAGCGATATCAACAACGTTCAAGAATGCAGGTACTCGGCTCAACGGCTTGAAATGTTCCACCAGCCAGTCAAAGCGATTGTCATTCACAGGGACTCGACCTTAAAACACTTTTCTCCCTCATTTTAAAAATATAAAAGAGCAAGAACAAACAATCACACACTGAATCCGCTATAGGACAAAAAGCAATGATGCAATTTACAGATATTTCAAAAGAAATCATACTTTCGCGATCAAATGGTTCCGGAGCCAGTCAACGCCCGGCTTACTTACTTTCATTCGGATCAATTGTACAG